CCTTGTAAGAAAGCCTGATGCCAACTCTGTCCACATATCTATTCAAGTGACATCATCATAGGACCTAATCACATCAGCCATACCATCAGGGGCTCGTTCACCTGCACATCTACCAATGTGATATATGCCATCATGTGCCAGCAATGCCCCTCTGCCATGTACATTGGCCAAACCGGACAGTCTCTACGCACAAGAATTAATGGACACAAATCTGACATCAGGAATCATAATACTCAAAAACCAGAGGGAGAACACTTTAACCTGTCTGGTCATTCAATGACAGACCTGCGGGTGGCTATCTTACAACAGAAAAACTTCAAAAACAGACTCCAACGAGAGACTGCTGAGCTGGAATTGATATGCAAACTAGATGCAATCAACTCAGGATTGAATAAGGACTGGGAATGGCTGAGCCATTACAGACATTGAATCTATCCCCCCTTGTAAGTATTCTCACACTTATCAAACTGTCTGTACTGGGCTATCTTGATTATCACTTCAAAAGTTTTTTTCTCTTACTTAATTGGCCTCTCAGAGTTGGTAAGACAACTCCCACCTGTTCATGCTCTCTGTATGTGTGTATATATATCTCCTCAATATATATTCCATTCTATATGCATCCGAAGAAGTGGGCTGTAGTCCACAAAAGCTTATGCTCTAATAAATTTGTTAGTCTCTAAGGTGCCACAAGTACTCCTGTTCTTTTTAGTTAAGTAGTGTAGTTAGAGAGAGAGTCCCAGTGGGGACTTAATCTCCAGGTTTTAAGCCCTGCTCTGACTGCAACTGGCCTATGCCTATTAGTGATCCCCATATCAGCTGCCTGAAGTGCTCTCTGCCTGGCGTCCGAGCCTTCTCGGCTGGGCTCTGCCCCTAGCACTTTGGCCTCGGTGCGCAGTGCACCCCTGGCACTGGGCTCTGCCTGCCAGCGCCCCCCATCACCGGTGAAGAGGTTGAAGAAACTTGACTCCCCGGCACTGAGCAAGAAGGACCAAGAGAGTTCAGGCAAAGGACCCAGTTGGCCGCCAGCCCACACCACAGCCGCATAGGGATGCTTCCCTGATTGGAGCCCCTTAGTCCCCCGAGGGATCTGCTGCCAACTCCTGGGAATGGTAGAGGACCCAGACCTGTGGCAGGGGTGATGCCTTCCCAGGCTCTCCTGGCACCTAGAGAGCAAAGGCCTCTAGCAGCGCCATTGGCATCGCAGGACATGTCAAGGGCTCCATGTGAGAGCAAGCCAGCTGTAAAGACCCTTCAGAGGGCGAGCAAACTATGTCAGTCTCCAGAGACGAGACAATATTCTCCGTCTCCATGCCCCAGGTCTCCATCTCCAGGACACCCGAGATTACCAGCACCGCAATTGCTGTCTCCACCCTCTCAACACGGGTCACCTGGAGGGAGACATCAGTCACCATATCACTGGCACCAATCATCCTCCCACTGGCTGTTTTCTCGGCACAGATCCCTGTCTCCTAGACCGTGGGCGTGGTCTCCCTTTTAAGGCACCGATTCCCCCCACCCGTGCACCTATCCACCTACTCAAGGTCTTCTGCGGTGCTGGTTCACTATCAGACACTGGCATCGACAGCCCCTCCGTGGTCACCAGAAGGTGATTCCTCTGGCACTGAAGGGTAATTCAGCCCTTTGCCAAGACAGCACCGGCGCGGTGGGGCACCTGAGGCTGCGTTGACCTCTGTGATGCCATCTTGGCAGCAACGCCAGTAGCCGACGCAGTGGCCCTACTGGAGCACGTGGGGTATGCCTTGTAATGCCGATGCCTCCTTCAATCCATTCCTCAGCCGCTGCCTCGGAGCAGCAACCAACAGCACCAGCGGTATCAAGCTCGATGCGCGTGGCACGCTCTGAGGGCAGGGAAGAAGAGCAATAACCTACCCTGAAACCTTATGCCCTGGGGGCCTCCCCTGGTGACCCAGTTGTCCTCCTCCTTGTCCCCAGATGAGGCAGTGGCAAGGCCTTCTCGTGCCAGCCCACCAGACGATTTTAAAGAACACCAGGCCCTGCTTCATAGCGTGGTTACGAACTGTACTTCCAAGCCCAAGGAGATGGCCGAACAGGTGGATACTGTGTCTAATGTACTCTCTGCAACTATCCCTGGCCGTGTAGGGCTACCAGTACACAATGGGGTCCTAAAAATAGCCAAAGCCCTCTGGCAAACTCCATCTTCCATCCCTCCAACCTCCAGGAAAGCAGAGGAAAAATTGTTTTGTTCCTGCCAAGGGTTTTGAATATTTGTATATCCACCCTCCTCTGGGCTTGCTGGTTGTCTTGGCGGCCGAGAAGGACAGCTGGGACAAACCAGTTCGACCCCCAAAAATAAGGAGGCGAAGAGCCTGGACCTTTTTGGAAGAAAGATTTATTCACTGGCCAGCCTTCAGTTCCAGGTGGCTAACCACAATGCTCTCTTGGGGAGTTACAACTTGAACTTCTGGGACTCCCTCTGTAAGTTCAAGGAGTCCCTACCCCAGAATTCAGCCCAGGAATTTGGGGCCCTGGTGGAGGAGGGTACGGCAGTGGCAAGTTGCTCCTTACAAATGGCATAGGACGCGGAAGGTGCTTGCCTTCTACTTTGACAGGACTAAGCCATTTCATTTCGCAAGTCAGCGCGGTTGTTTGTTGCAGAGGCGGACGGGATGAAAGGTCGCCCAGTGTCTCCTCAGAGGATTTCATCTTGGATCACGGCCTGCATCCGTTACTGCTATGATCTGGTGAAGGTGCCTCCACCAGCGACCGTGACTGCCCACTCGACTAGGGTGAAGGCTTCGTCAGCACCCTTCCTGGCCCAGGTGCTGATTCAGCATAACTGCAGGGCTGCTACCTGGTTGTCTTTCCACACGTTTAATCTCATTATGCACTTATCCAGCAAGCCCGAGATGATGCTGGCTTTGGCAGAGCAGTGTTGCAAGCCGCATGAGCGTGAACTCTGAGCCCACCTCCATGGATACTGCTTGTGAGTCACCTAGAATTGAATTGACATGAGCAAGCACTTGAAGAAGAAAAAAGTTACCTACCTTTCATAACTGTTGTTCTTCGAGATGTGTTGCTCACGTCCATTCCATTACTTGCCCTCCTGCCTCTCTGTCAGAGTTGCCAACAAGAAGGAACTGCGAGGGTGTAGGGCTGGTGGTGCCCAATATCCTGGCGCGTGAGCACAACACTCAAGAGGATGCCACAGCTGATCCTACAGATACTGCTAAGGCAAAAATCTCCGACAGCTGCACACATGGGCACGTGCTCACCTAGAATGGAATGGACATGAGCAACACATCTCAGAGGTGGGCAGGGGCATGCTGGGCACTCTGTTGTAAGCAGTATCACAATTGATGTTATGTGTGGGATACCCCAGGTGGGGACATGCTAAAGAGAAATAGTCGTGATGGCAAAGACACCTGGCAAAAGAGAGGGACTGTTCAGACTCAGTACAGAACTTCTAGCCCCCATTTTTCGGAGATGAGGAAGGAGGAGCTCTTGGGAGAACAACCTTGGTTATAACACCTCATTCTTTGGGGATTAAGCTTATCTCGGACTAGTAGGTCGAGACTTGCAAGGGGGACAGATTGTCCCATATCTGCTTTATTATTTCTTGCTCCCTCCTCTGAAGCATTTGGTGCTAACACCTATCAGTGACAAGAATTGACACACTGGATGTGACCTCTGGTCCAGCTAGTCCATTATTCTACATCCCTACATCTAGGGGGAGAGAATGGAATAACAGTCACCCCAGTTCCATATTGAAGTCAGAGACGAGGTGTGCCCCAGCCATAGGAACCAACTTGACTGAGCCACCCTTTCTATGAGTTCATGAGGCAAAAGGGAAAAAGAGGCTGGGGAGTTTACAGTTGTAGATACAAGAGATTGTCAGCGAGGCTAATTAAACCACATGGAGAGCTGATGAGTGTCTGTTGTTCAAGCCCATATCCTTCACAATCGCTAAACTTCGCCTCTGGTCCCATCTCATATTCCCCAAAAGAGATGGACTGGTCAAGAAGCTTCTGTTGTGAGAATAGTGAGGGCGGAATCTACATTTCTACTTTGGTAACCCTACTGACCAGCAAGGGAACAGGTATTGTGACCTGCAGAGGATGTACCATGTGTTCTTTCCTGCCTGAAGACAAGAGACTTTCTGTGTAAGACATGCAAACTGATGCCTGTATGGGAAGAAAAGAATTCCTCTTAATCCTACATCAGAGAAAGTTTAGGCATCACCACTGTAGATTCAACAAGGGAGGAAGAATCAGCTAAGAATGATCAGGAGAGAGTAGAAAACAAAGATAATGATTGGCACTGTGACCACGGGGAAAGGAGAACTAGGAGGAATTCTACGTGACTAAAGCTATCTGATCAACATCAAGTGCTTGGTGTGACAACTGCAGAGAATGTCTCTGAGAAATCCACTAGAGGAAAGGAAGAGAGTTGCAGGGGACATAACTGCAGGCAGCCACTTGTCCCAAGTCTTTGGATTGGGTTATGTCCAAGAGAAAACCTCCAGCCAGCCAGAGGAAACAGACACCTTATTGGGAAATCCATGTTAGGAAAAGTCGACAAAACATTCTGAAGGGTACAGCCAGCAGGATGGTGTGAGCTAAGGCAAGGGATGTGACTGCAAGATTGGACAAGATTCTTAAGACAGCAGGCATGATGTCTGTTAAATTTTGGCACCAATGACCTGGTTTCACAGATAATTGAAGACTTCAGGGATCTTGGAGGAGAACTGTTGACAAGGAAAGTCCAGATGACTTTCCACAAGCAAGGGAACACAGGCAGAGGATTCTTGGGGTGAACTGATGTCTAGGTAAATGATTGGAACATCAGACCCTCTTCCCATATAAGATGGCCTACAGTTTGGTCCCCCTTCCATTGTGAAGGAGGCTGTCTAATTCTGGTGATAGACGGGCTAGACAAGTCAGGTAGGTGTTAAGCTGTGACAGAGGAGGACATTAAGGGAGTAACCGCCATTCATATGCTCAAACGTGTAACTTGGTCTCAAGGTGTCATGGACGTAAATCAAAGTATCAAAAGACATGAAAGGAATAAATTATTTAATTTCTTATGTCATTCCCAGGAACCTGGGTATTAAACAGGAGGGATTGGAATTTCTTTCATGTATGAGAGAAAATTTGATGTTGGTAATAAAAACAATGGGAAGATTCATATGATTGGAATATTAAAATCATAGAATATTAGGGTTGGAAGAGACCTCAGGAGGTCATCTAGTCCAACCCCCTGCTCAAAGCAGGACCACCACCTCCTAAATCAACCCAGCCAGGGCTTTGTCAAGCTGGGCCTTAAAAACCTCTATGGATGGAGATTCCACCACCTCCCTAGGGAACCCATTCCAGTGCTTCACCACCCTCCTAGTGAAATAGTGTTTCCTAATATCTAACCTCCCCCACTGCAACTTGAGACCATTGCTTCTTGTTCTGTCATTTGCCACCACTGAGAACAGCCGAGCTCCATCCTCTTTGGAACTCCCCTTCAGGTAGTTGAAGGCTGCTATCAAATTCCCCCTCACTCTTCTCTTCTGCAGACTAAACAAGCCCAGTTCCCTCAGCCTCTCCTCGTAAATAATTTTCGTTGCCCTCTGCTGGACTCTCCAATTTGTCCACATCCCTTCTGTAGTGGGGGGGACCAAAACTGGACACAATACTCCAGGTGTGGCTCCACCAGTGCCAAATAGAAAGGAATAATCACTTCCCTCAATCTGCTGGCAATGCTGCTATTAATATAGCCCAATATGCCATTGGCCTTCTTGGTAACAAGGGCACACTGCTGACTCATATCCAGCTTCTCATCCACTGGAATCCCCAGGTCTTTTTCTGCAGAACTGCTGCTTAGCCAGTTGGTCCCCAGCCTGTAGCGGTGCATGGGATTCTTCCTTCCTAAGTGCAGGACTCTGCATTTGTCCTTGTTGAACCTCATCAGATTTCTTTTGGCCCAATCTTCCAGTTTGCCTAGGTCACTTTGGACTCTATCCCTACCCTCCAGTGTGTCTACCTCTCCCTCCAGTTTAGTGTCATCTGCGAACTTGCTGAGGGTGCAATTAATCCCATCATCCAGATAATTAATGAAGATGTAGAAAAAAAACGGCCTAGGACTGACCCCTGGGACACTCCGCTTGATACCAGCTGCACTGGCTACAACTTCCTCAGGAAGGGTAGAGGGAGCTGGCCACATCATCAGAGGCTTTATCTGCACACTGACTTTCACCAGTTCAACTTACTGTGTTTTTAAACCAATGTAGTTAAATCAGTGCCAGTTGTGTGTAGACAAGGCCAAAGATGCTATTACCTGCTTTAGTATTATTGACAACTTGGAAGCACAAGATCTTAAAGAATACTTGGGGATCAATGATAGAGCACAAAGGAAGGCATTGAAAGGGGTCTGTTATGGATTACCAAATAAGATTAGCGAACAGGGTAAACAGCTTGTTAAGCACCTATCTATAATGAATAGAAAGAAAAAGTGCATTATCCAGGGAGAATTTCAACCTGGGAGATTTATTGCAGGTCTCAGGCCATCAATAGAAAATTATAATTTTGAGATACTCTAAGAACGTTTTACTTACGCAAAATACATTAGATCCAATATGGGGTCATTCAATAGCAGACCTCATTCTGACAGAGAAAGGTGAATTGTCCACTGAACTAAACAATATTGGTAGCCTAAATACAAGGGACCAATTGAGTTGCAAGTATCAGGGGGTAGCGTGTTAGTCTGTATCCACAAAATCAACAAGGAGTCCGGTGGCACCTTAAAGACTAACAGATGTATTTGGGCATAAACTTTTGTGGGTAAAAAAACCTCACTTGAGTTGCAGTTGATTTGTGCAAATGGAATACAGTCCTAACCAATAATATATATGCTTTACAAGAACTGATTTTTCCAAAGCTAAAGTTAATTGTGAGCAGTATTGACTGCAGCCAAAAATTTCAACAGAAAAATGTGAATAGAAATTGAGGGGTTTTTTTTAATAACTTGCTAGATGTCTAAGATGCCTCACTTCCATTGTCATGGGGAAAATACTGCTTGAGCTAAAAACCATCTTGCTTTAGAGATTACGAAAAAGGAATGAAAAATGAGAAACCAACTCCAGATATGACCGGGTGATTATAAATGGGCTAGGTCAAATACAGGCTATCAGTCCTCATTCTCAAAGGCACCTGCACAACACTTTCAAAAGACGAGCCTTGGAGCTTAAATTCATAACTTTGCTAGACACTAAAAATCATGGACTGAACAGAGACACTGGATTTATAGCGTATTACAGCAATCTGTAACCCGCTAACATCCCTTTACTACAGGGCCCCCTTAGAATATGTGATAATTAGTGATGCTTTGACCTTGTATTTAGCTGTGACACTGTGAATATTTCTCCCAGACTTGAGGGACCCTCTGTATAGCTTGAAAGCCTGTCTCTCTCAGCAACAGAAGTTGGTCCAATAAAAGATACTACCTCACCCTCCATGTCTCTCTGGTTAGCCTGATGGCAGGCAGAATATTGGAACTGATAATATATGCCTCTTTCAATAAAGAATTTAAGGATGGAAATGCCAGTTAGAAGGGCTAGATAGAATATAGTTCTTGTATTAAAAATAAAATTTATACTCTTGTCAAATAATTATATCAAGAAGAAAGTGAGGTTAATAAAAGTAATTACGCTGATGTAATTTACTTGTATTTCCTAAAGGTATTTGCCTCAGTACTGTACAATTTTTTTATTTAAAAAAAAAAAGTACTGAACCATATCAAGGTGTGGTCCCTATTAAATGGATCAAAAATGTTATTTAAGTGGGGGTTCTTGAATGGGGCTGTTTCTAGTGTGGCCCTGCAGTGAAGAATTAGAGGATGGCCCAATGGGTAAGGCCCTAGCCTGCAACCATGGAGACCTAGCGCAACTCACATTAGGCCTAGATCCACAAAGGTGTTTAGGACTTCAATCCTAGTTTTGGCTCCATGGCGATCCACAAAACTCCCACCAAACCCTATAGGTGTCTAAACTTACTCAGCGCCTACATTCCTGCCTCTGAACATGCACCTCCTGCTAAGCTTCCAGGTGCCTATCTTCTGCCTGAGGCTCAGGACAGTTCACAAACCAGGGGAAAATAGGAATTTGCCTAAGTTGTGGAGGGGCCTTATCCACTAGCTGTGCTCCAAGTCCATCTACTGGATTGGATCCCATTCGAAATGTGGTAGAACGAAGTGGTGCCCACCAAATAACTTCTAGCCCAGTGATTAAAGCACCCTCCCGAGAAGTGGGAGACCCCCTGTTCAAATTCTTTCTCCTCCTCCAACAGACAGAGGAATTGAATGTGGGTCTCCCACATCTCAAGTGAGTGCTGTAACCACTGTGCTAAAAGTTATAGGTTGGCTAGCCAGAAGATGAATTTAGTTTTGAATAAATTATTGGTAAAACCCATTTGATTCAGAGGCTACCATCTCATTAGTTTTCGTGTCTCAGTTGCCTTCCTTGTGGCTGTTGCTTTGGCAGAGTGTGTTTAATTGACAAGAAATTCAATTTACAAAGACGCTTTTTCTATCGCTTTTCCTGATGAACTAGAAATCTGGGCAGCACCCAAGGTTCCCCCTAAAGTTATTTCTCCCCTTCAGTTAGGAAATTAGTCCACCAAACTAGAGAAATAAATTAAATGGCATCACCTAGATGTCTGTTGAGCCATTACATTTTATTAGGGCAAATAATTTTTCAGGAAAACAAATGCTTTACTTTTTAAGCCTGTATTCTTTTCATCCACCAGCTCCTACTGTCATGTTAACAGATGCAGCAACCACCAGTTGTGATGCTCTCTAAGAAGGGCTATGGAATACAACATAAGCTTACATGTTTGTGTATTAGAATTGAGAGCAGTTTGATCACCTCTGAGGGCCTTTCCCCCCCTTAGGTACCTGGTAGAGATGTGTAAATATTAAGACAGTACCATCATGCATTCTATCAGCCTTCAGGGTGGAACTGGATCTGTCTGAGAGAAAATAGCATCAGTTTAACTTAAGGTCTGATTCTAAACTAATTTTGTTAAACCTGTACGAAAGGGCTAGGGATATCCTTATTTTGGTTTTAAACAAATTTCAGTTGAATTGGTGCAACTTTCTCTGGGTATGTCTACACAGCAAAGAGAAACCTGCCCGCTGATTTGGACTCATGGGGCTTGGGCTGCAGGGCTGTTTCATTGCTGTGTTGACAGCCCTGTTCGGGCTGGAGCCCAGGCTCTAGGGCCCTGTGACATGAGAGGGGCCCCAATCTTTGGCTCCAGCCTGAGGCTGGAAGTCTACATAGCAATGAAACAGCCCAAGTCGGCTGGCACGGACCAGCCGTGGTGACTAGTTCCTGTGTAGACATCTCCTCAGAGACAAGGCCTAGGACCAATAGACTGTATCCCTCAACCGTACTGAAAGGGTTTCTAAGATTAGTATTTTTTTTAATTTCAAAGATTTCCATTCCATTTTGGATTTGAGAAAATGAAACAAATTTATTAACAAATTCAAATTTATATAGTAATGTTAGCAGTCTTTATTCCTCTTTGCAATCTTCAGGAGGGAGTGGAGTTCTTGATCTGAAGAGCCACTAATAGTATATATGGTGTTTGGATCATGGTGGCTCCCAAAGGTCCCGGTGAGTACTGCATTAGAGACAGTCCATGACCCAAAAAGCTTTTCAGTCTAACCTGAAATGAAGCAACAAGTAAGTGTTTACACACACTGGCTTTACCCTCGCTCCCTTTTCCCTCAAGGGTACGTAGGTTTTAATTGTCTTGATTTTGAATAGATAAAGGTTTTTTAATTAATTAATGAAATCTGCTGTCCCCACTGCCACAAACTGGCCATTCCTGGCTGGCTGATTTCTGCTAGGTGCTGTCCCCCTACAAAGGTCACTGTAGCCCTGATTACACTTTCTTATTGCAGCCTTGCAGGGCCAACCATCATAAGGCCCAAAGCTGTCATTGACATTTTGGTTAAATAAACAGTAAAGGAAAATGTGGTTTTGGGCTGCGCACACCTATTTGCATAATTTTAATAGCATTTGCTTTTCTACTTGCCACATAGAAGATGCAGTTTATATTTTTCTTACAAAAAACAGAAAAAAAAATTAAAACTCCCCGGAAGATTACATTGAATCATACATAGAAATTTTAGATCCAGTTTATAAAATTTTTGTTCTTGAAATAATAGCCTCTGCGCTACGCACTGTAGAATGCCCCTGAGGTATTTCATAAGGAAATAAGTACTAGCTATTTCCTCAAAGGCTTTTCTCCCTTCCCCTCACAATTATACCTTTTAAATCCGTGATACTCAGCCTGAGGCTTACAAGCTGCAAGTGGTTCTCTAATGTGTCTTCTGCTGCTCCTTGCAGCACGTGATATTCAAACACTATGTGATTTAATTATTAACCAATTTAAGTGATTGACCAATCAGGATGCTTCTACTATGTTAACCAATTGTAGTTGATAAAATACTTGGTCAGTCATTTTGCTGTGAGAATAATATATAATCTAAATATTGCCCCGTCGTACTGTTTAAATGTGAATACCTAGCACTATAGTAAATGAAACCATAACTTCACACCATTGTGGCTCTGTGGGGTAACGTTGATTGCTAATTGGGCTCCTGAACCACTGAGGTCTAAGTATGACTGTTTTAAATTGTTATGTACTGCAAGGAACAGGCGCTTGCATCCATAGACCCCATGCAGCTCCGCAGTCTCTCAGGGTCTGATCCAACCACCATTGAAGTTAATGGGAGCCTTTCCACTGACCTCAAAGAGAGTCAGATCAGGCCTTGTGGAATTCACGGAGTGGTTCCTTCTAGGGAATGCAAAATAAATGAATGGGAGTTTGAGAGAGGCAGCGCTTTGTTATATGGGAGTGGTAATGATACAGTGGGGTGGGGGAGAATGACATTTCCAAAAGGATATAAACTCACTCATGATTTTTTTTTTTTGCCACAAAACCAGACTTGATATATTAAGGCTACCTTTGGAACAACATTCAAAACAGGCCAGGTCCTCAGCTGGGAAATCAGTATAATTTTATTGGGATCTGGCCCATAACTCACTGATCGGGAAAAATGATGTGGGAAGGGGTTGGTTAATATGACATGTTTTATACTTGAAGAGGAAGATTGATTCATAAATAAAATATATTCAAAAGCACTGTTTTAATGCTTGATCATATTTAAAAAAAATTTTAAATCCAGATACAATTGTATTTTCCATTTCCTTTTCATGCCTGCATGCAGTTTCCAGTTGCTTGCATTTAGTTCAAATTTATCATGAAGAAACCAAAGATGATTTTGATTTTTGTATTCCACTCTCATCTTGCAAATTTTGCCATTCATTCCCAAACCTTGTGTTTAATACCTACATCTTCACCACACTAGATGGAGCAGTCATTGACAGAGCCACGAATGGTTGTTGGGAACCTTATCAAGTGAAAAAATTGGAACATTTCCAAACAACTCTGCTACTAACTTCTGTGTCCGAAGATGTCCAAACAGCTTGTTCCTTGAAGACAGAATTAGATTTGGAATGACAGGCAGAAAGTCTGCTTGAAATCTCCATTTTTAGAAAATATAAAATCTCACTATAAAAAAATTTACCAACAACCATTTAAAAATAAAACGGTCAAAAAATTATCAGTATAATAAACATAATGCAAACTGACCAGCAATTGCTAACAGAGAATGGGCGAAGGTGACACAGCTCTACCTTTTCTCAGCCCCTTTTTAAAACAACCAGCTATGGTTCTCCTCTAACTGTCCATTCCTCTGTTCTGGGGGGGGGGAATTGTGTTGAGAAACTAGTGGCATGAAACCTTTAAAAATCTGTCGTTTTGGACTGTCAAGACAACAACGTCATAGCTGTAGCCTCTCGGGTTCAAGCTGCAAGCAGTTGGCACTACTGCTGCTTATTTAACTTCTGGCCAGTACAGTTATGCTGCGCTAGCTCTTCGGAGCCTCCCAAACACCTCCATAGAAAATAATGGATTTTTCTGCCTTCTTTGTGCACAGTAAGGTCCACATCTACACCCACAGTAGATTGGCAACGTTTTAGCACCGGAATCCCCTTCCTGGGGATGAAAATGCTGTGGCCATTACACCTGGCAGATACTGTAATTAACTCCTGTTCGTTCGGACAACGTTTCTACAATCATTTCCATCACGTGGTCTTTGGGCTGGAGAAGGGAGTTCTCTGCAGAAGAAAGCTTCTCTGTGTTGCTCACTGGATCTTGCTGCAAAAACAAGAAAGATATGCTCTTAATTCTGCTCCCTGACCTGCCCACAGTTTCTGTATTTGATTTTTGCTCCGGCACCCCTTTTTTCCCCCCTCCCAAATGGATATACGTACTTTTTCTGGCTTTGGGGCAAAATCTTTCTGGCAGACATGTGCTATGATGCCCGCAGCAAGTGCATCACCCAGGACATTGGTCATTGTTCTAAGTCGATCTCTAGAAGAAAAAAGAGCCGTGAGAGCCAGCTAGCTTTGGTGAAAGTGCCGGTGGTGGTAGATATTGGGAAGATTAATCTGATTTCCCCTGCAAGAACACAAGCAAAATAAATAACCTCTTGCATTTCCATACTACCTTTTTATCCCAAAGAGATCCCAAAGTGCTTTAAATATATACACTCACAGTACACTGATTTGCTTCACCTGACATTGCCGGGCAACTGCCTCTGCAACAGCTGTTCAAAAGGACAAGGTCAGGTCATTGAGCCCTACATTTTTGATTTACCAAAATGTGAATTAAAAAAAGTTACAAAATCTAAAATTTTATAGATTTTATAACCATTTTACTTCTACTTTTATAAGTAGATAGTACCTTAGCATATGTATTGATGGGACTACTACTGGAATACTGTATTCACTTTTGGTGTCCACCCTCTCAAGAGGATGTTGAAAACAGGATTCAGAGAAAAGCTACAAGAATGATTTGAGGTCTCAAAAACACTTTACAATGCAAGAGTTGGGTAAAACGCCCCCTAAATAGATAAAGCTCCTTAAAATGCCTTGGATTTTTAGGAGTGCAATTCCCATTGAAAGATTTCTGCTCCTAAATCCTTTAAACTAAGGCCTAGTCTACACTGCACGGTTATGTCAACTCAAGACAGTTTATGTAGACCTCCCTATGGATGTGTCTACACTTAAATTTCACTTTTACTGACGTAACTGCCCCACTACACCAACTGAATAGCACCACCTCCCCAAGCAGCATAGATTCAGGGTGGATGTAGTTAGGTCGATGCAGTATCAGCGTAGACACCACGTTACTTACATCAACTGTTCTTGGCCTCCAGGAGCTGCCCCACAATGCCTCACAAGACGGCTCTGGTTGCCATTGTGAATTCGCTGCCTAAGGGTCATGGGGACAAGAAGCTGCCCCTCCCTTTAAAAACCTCCACCAATTTTTGAAATTCCTTTTCCTGATTGCCCGGCTTGATGAGCACACCTAGCCTCTCTCCACTGTTGAGTGTAACTGCCCAGCTGACCATGCCCGGCTACATGCTGCAGATGTGCTCCTGCCTGGAGTACACAGGAGGTATTGGATCTCCTGAGCCTGTGGGGAGAAGAGCAGATTGCTCAGGGACGACAGGAGAAGAGCTACAAGGGGGACCAGCGGCAGTGTCTGCTGAAAGCCAAGGAGCTGGGCAGGCATACCAGAAGGCAAGAGAGTGCAACAACCGATACGGTGCGGAGCTGCAGACCTGCCACTTTTACAAAGAGCTGCATGCCATCCTTGGTGGAGACCTCACCATGACCTCCGAGAGCCCTGTCAGTACTTTAAAGGAGCCCAAGTCACAGACCCCTGCCGTGAACAGTGAAGAGGAGGTGGAGGAGGAATATGGGGTCCAGGCGACTGGGGGATCTAGCTGCCCAGTGAGCCAGGACATGTTTTTGACTCCACCAGCCAGTCCCGACAGTCCAGCTCAGGGAAGCCTGATGCAGGGGAAGGAACCTCTGGTAAATATGCTATTTTCTTTGAAAATCCAGGGATGGAAACCCCAAAGTAGCAGGACACATCTGTTAATTTACTTTTTTTTACTTGTGCTAGAAGAAGTAGTGAAACAACCAAGAGAAGGCCACATGGAGCAGTTTGTTATGTGCCCCGAATCCTTTGGAGAAATCTCAATGAGACTTTGATGGAGGTACTCTGCACTCCTCTACCCAAGGTTTCTGGGAAGGGCTGCCTTCTTTTTTCTGCTGTGGTAGGACACTTTACCACGCCACTTAGCAATTACTTCAGCAGACAACCATTGCAGAGCACAGGCTAGCAGCATACCATAGAATCATAGAAGATCAGGGTTGGAAGAGACCTCAGGATGTCATCTAGGCCAATCCCCTGCTCAAAGCAGGACCAATTCCCAACTAAATCATCCCAGCCAGGGCTTTGTTAAACCAGGCCTTAAAAACCTCTAAGGCCTGGTCTACACTGGCGGAGGGGGATCGATCTAAGATACGCAACTTCACCTACGAGAATAATGTAGCTGAAGTCGACGTATCTTAAATCGACTTAGAATCACTTACTTCGCGTCCTTGCGGCGCGGGATCGATGGCTGCCACTCCCCCGTCGACTTTGCTTCCGCCTCTCGCTGAACTGGAGTTCAGCAGTCGATGGGAGAACGATCAGGGATTGATTTATCGCGTCTACACTACACGCGATAAATCGATCCCTGATCGATCGCTATCCAAACAGCTGTTTGGCAGCGCTTAGGACTTTGGGGGGGGGGGAATGCGGCATGTTCCAGAGAGGAGGTGGAGTGGGGGTGGGAAGAGGTGGGCCTGGGGTGGAGCAGGGACAGGAAGGCGTGCCTGGAGCATCCCCCGGCAAAGTCGGCGCCTGTTCTTCTCCGGGGAAGCTGCTACTATTGCTGTGAAGGTGCTTCCTAGCGTCCTTGCCTGCAGTGGGCTGTGCCTGTGTGAGGGAAGCCAGGGGCCGTTCCCAACTACAGTACAGTGCTGTACAGTATATAATGCCTTTTGTCTGCCCCCCCCAAAATTTCCTTGGAACCTAACCCCCCGCGTTTACATTAAATATTATGGGGAAATTGGATTCGTTTAACATCGTTTCACTTAAAGTTGCATTTTTCAGGAACGTAACTACAACATAAAGTGAGGAGTTACTGTATCCTAAGTTTCTATTTCCATCGTGAATACACTAACAATGGTACCTCTCTGTGTTGAATCTGCAGCTGCTGCCATTGTGGCCTTCAGGGTCTCCTCCTCCACACCCGCGGAAAGCTTGAGCCAGATAAGGAGGAGAAAGAAGAGGACTCGGGCTGGCATGTTCCATGGGATCATGCAGGCCTGCGCTGCATCAGAGAATGAGACCAGGGCCTGGAGGATGACCATTTCAGACAGCATGGAGAGGGAAAAGTTGAGAGGAGGTAGGCCCGGGAGTCCAAGCAGGAAAAGGAGAGGGAGATACGCTAGGATATAATGGGGCTTCTCAGGCAGCAAACTGATGCTGCACTGACTGTGGTAACTTGCAGGTATAAGAATCCTGTGCTCGCCTCCCTCTGCAGCCCATAGAGAACAGTGTCGCCTCCCTTCACCCCCCTCAATATTCCACATGGCATCGGGGGTTGCTGCCAGTGTTCCCGCTAATTTTTCCCACCCAGGTGCAGGATGAATTTTGTGTGTACCAATATGGAGGTGCACATAACAAAATTCATGTGGTGGGGGTGGGGCTGAGGGGTTCCCATGGGAGGGGGCTGAAGGCTGGGGCAGAGGGCTGGGGTGTAGGGGGTGAGGGCTTGGGCAGGGCCGGGGACAAGGGCCAGAGGGTTGAGTGCAGGGGGTGATGGCTCCAACTGGGGGTGCAGGCTCTGGGGTGGGACCAGGATCAAGGATTTGGGGTGTAGGAGGATGCTCCGGGGCTACAGCGGGGAGAGAGGACCCCCCCCCCAGCACACTCTCTCCCTGCAGCAGCAACTGGGCTGGGGTGGGAGAGGTACCTGTCCCTGTTGTGGGAGCTCTAGGGCTGGGGCTGCAGGATGGGTGCCCCTCCCCTGGCCCCAGCAGGTCCGTACCAGGGGAGGGCCGCGCCTGGGTCTGGGCCACTACAGCCATGGTAGGTCCAGGCCGCAGGGTGAGTTGGGGCTGGGGGTGGGGTGCCCCTCCCGTGGCAGGTTGGGGGCTGGGCTAGGTGGGGGCCGCAGCAGGTCCCTGGCCGGGGTCCCTAAGCGCCTGCGCAGTGCTAAGTAGGCTGCTGCGCATCCGCGCAGCTTACAGGGAACGTAGGTCGCTGCACTGCCCCTACCACTCCACCCCAAGGGACGTGAAAGACAATCACAACTACACGTAGACTGACCTGTGAAAGCCACGGCTGGTGTATGTATACCTGAAATGGAAATGTTATGTTCTTTCCCCTTCATAAGTTCTGTTCCCTTAATTTATTAAGTTTCAAAAGGTTTTGTAATTGCCTGGTTCATGTTACAGAATAAAAATCAATTTTTGGAACAAAATTCATCTTTATTAGTTCACAACATGTGCTGTCTGGTGCTGAGCAGGTCTGACAAGCACCAATTTCCTGTTACTTCATTTTGTCACAGAAACCATAACCTCATTCAAGACTATATTAATAGGTGCATTGGCAATGTTCTATTTCTACACACACACAATCACCACAAGAATTGTACCAGGCTGCAAAAGAGCAAGGCCAGGTAGAGTACACTGCAGCAACACACACTGTTCTGGCTCACTATTAAATGTTCTTTCAAAGTCTTCCTGAGCTACATAGCTCTGTACTGAACCTTTCTAATAGTCCTTGTGTTCGGCCGTTCAAATTCAGCAGCTCCAACTCCACCCTGATGGAAACTTTCCCCCTTTGATTCACAGATGATATGCAGGACACAGCAGGCAGCTATCACCATTGGGATCTTTTTTTCACTGAGGTCCAGCGTTGTAAGTAAACAACGCCAGTGACCCAAAGGCTCATTCAACTGTTGTTCTGCACCTGCTGAGCTGGTATTTGAAGCATTCCTTGGTGCTGTCAAGATGGCCAGTGTATGGATTCATGAGCCGTGGGAGCAAAGGGTAGGCTGGGTCTCCCAGGATATTGTGATTTCAACATTCCCAATGGTAATCTGCTGGTTGGGAAAGAAAGTCCCTGCTTGCAGCTTTTTGAACAGTCCTGTGTTCTTAAAGATGCCTGCAGCATGCACCTTCCCTGTCCCGCCCACATTGATGTCAGTAAAGCATCCCCGGTGATCCACCAGCACTTGCATTACCGTAATGTACTCTGTGGCAAGGTGGTCTGGTGTTAAAATAGGGATGTGCATGCTATCTATTGACCCTTCGAAGTTCAGGAAGCCTATTGCTGCAGAACCATCCACTGTGTCCTGCATATTGCCCAGAGTCCTGCATAGCAGGAGGTGTGTAATGGCCTTGCACACTTGCATGACAGTGGTCTCCATGGTGCATTTCCCAACTCCAAGATGATTTCCCACC